TGTGTTCTCACCTCTGAAAAGGCTCAGACTTAAGGTAGTAGGGCAGCACTGTTCTAAGGTGTTCCTCCTTTTTCTCTTGAAGAAATATTTTTGCTTTTCTTTTACAAATCATTTTTCTTCTGAGCTGCTCACGCCTTGGACTGGTTCTGTCATCCAAGCATGTTCACACTAAACACTGCCTTAACTAGTTGGTGGAAGAGTCTCTAATCCAACACCTCTGTGCTAGGCAGTACTACCACCAGCACAAGAGAAGTCAGCTCTGGCTTTTACTATAAGTTTGGATACAGACTCCAATACATCTCTACATAACCTGCTCTTGCACTGCACCAAATTCTTAGTGAAAAAATTTCTCACAGCATCCAGCCTGAACAACTCAAGCTAGAAGCTGTGGCCATCATCACTTCTTATATCATCTGCCATCTGGATTTGCTGTCTTTGCAGCTCACCTTCAAGTAGCTGTAGGCTGATAGTAGATCATCTGTGAAATTCCTTTTTGCCAAGCAAACGCCCAGCTCTGCTAATCTCTTTGTAGGTCCCATGCTACCATGTTGGTAGCCCTCCACTGAACTGTCTTGAGTTCCTTCACATCCCCCTTGATCTTCAAGGGGCAGGAAACTGTGCACGGTGGTCCAGGTGTGGCCACACAAATAACTTCCTTCAGTCTCTGGCCATGTTCTTCCTAACACAGTGTGGTGTGTGGGTTGTCTCATTTGCAATCAGAGCTTGCTGGTATCCATGGCAACTGCCAGGTCCTTCCAGTGGGGCTGCTCCTCAGCGACTCAGTCCTCAGCCAGGAAAGATGCATGGGGTCACTCTGCCCTGTTACAGAACTCCATTCTCCTTCCTAAACATCAGAAGGCACCTGTTGACCCAGTCCTTTCATTTCTCCAAGTCCCTCTGGAGTGAAGCTCTCATTCAGCATGTCAATTGCTTACTCTGAATTTTTATCATCATAAATTTCCTAGTTCCTTTTTCCTGTAGGATGACTTACAGACAGTTATTCTCCACCAAAGAGAGACTCTACCCATTGAGCTGTATGATTGAAGCTATCCAGACAGACACTTAAATGTCTTGACCTTCCTGCTGTGAACCACACTGAGGCTAAAATACAAGAGCAGCTTTGAATGCTTTATTCACAGGAACAAAATAATGAAATTATCTGAGCCAGAAGTGGCCAAGTACACCAGGTACTGAAGCAGAAAACTATGGGCAGCTGCTATGGATGTGAAACCGCTGAACTTTCTTTGGCAATGAGCAGCCAAGGCTGTTTGGAGCACTAGCACTCATGCTAGGAAATGGAGGAGGTTTTTATTTGGTTTTCTGTAAATATAGACATAAACTTCTACCAGGTTGTTTGCATTAGGTTAATATTTCTGCAGTGTACAGGTGTTGCTATAAGCTGTGAATATCTGCTGCCTGTCTCTAGCCCTGCAAAGAACGGAGTGTGGTGCTGTAAATATTAGCCCAGGCAGAGAGTGTTTGCTCAGCCCTCCTCTGTGCTGCCTCCCCCAGCAGTACTCTGATAGTGCTCCTGACAAACAGCCCAGGCTCAGCATCTCCTGCACCACACAGCAACGTGCTCTGGTTTTGGCTCAAGGAGGGTTGTAGTGATCAAAGCCTGGCAAAAGCAGCAGAAGTACCAGTGTGCTACTGTCTTGATCAGATTAGTGCTGCACAGAATAAGGTATGACTGAGTAACCCAGCACATACTGCAAACAAAATACTTCTGTGGTAAAACCCCTTCTTTACTGGCTGTGGCAGTCGTGGATGTGGAGAAGAAATGTCTCGCACATCACCGGGACTGCTGCCTGCTTTAATGCAGTGATTTCAGAGGAAAACTAATGATTTTTGTTCTCAAAAGGGCAATAATGGAAAGGACTGTCTTTTCCATTAATGGGAAGTCCTCCCCAATAATGGAAAGGACTGTCCATTGCTGTTGATTTGAACAGAAGAAGGAACTATCCTGCAGATACTGCAGGGCTCTTCCTGCTGCCAAAGACAGGAACAACAAACAAGCAAACAGCACCAGCATGGTGAGTGGGTTTCGTGTTTCACAGAGGACCCCTTTATGCACCTTAGACAGAGTATTTTTTCATAAAACAAAATACTGGCAAAGATCTGACAAAAATTTATTTACCATGAGCCTTAGTCACATATTTGTTTCATAGAGTTATAGAATCATGTAATCGTTGAGGGCAGAGAAGACCTTTAAGATCATGGAGCCCAGACATTAACTCCAAGCCACTGCCAAGACCACCAAGTGCCCCATTTACATCTCTTTTAAATCTTTCCAGGAGTGGGGACTCCACCACTGCCCTGGGCAGCTGTGCAAGGGCTGGACAGCCCTTTCTGTGAAGAAATTCTTCCTGATGTCCAACCTGAATCTCCCCTGGCACAGCTTGAGGCCATTTCCTTTTGTCCCATCCCTTGTTCTCTGAGAGAGTGAGAAGGTCCCCCTGAGCCTCCTTTTCTCCAGGCTGAGCCCCCTCAGTTCTCTCAGCTGCTCCTGGAGCATTCCCTGGGGTTGTTGTGACCTAAGGGCAGGATCCATCACTTGGCCTTTTTAAACCTCATGCAATTGGCCTCAGCCCACAGACCCAGCCTGTCCAGACCCCTCTGTAGAACCTTCCTACCCTACTACTGCCACCCAGCTTGGTGTCATCTGTCATCACAGGACCTTACATGAACCTGCAAAGAGCAACAAATACAACATAAAGCACAGAACTGGGGCTAAAAGCTGAGGAAATCAGATCAGAGTTGATCACTGTTTATGTAGCTGTTTGAGAAGGTCAAAGGCCTAGACCTTGCATGGAATTAGAGAAACTGATTCCTGACATATTTTACATTACACTGGTAGGTGACCCTCACAGGTCAGAGCTGGCCTATACAATTTCAGATGGAAAGAATGATGAAAGCCTCAGTCGTGAGAGACTGGTAATTATCCAACTCTCTGAGATGTGTAATGAGGTTACAGTGCTGGTAACCTCAGTGTGGGGAGGGAGGAGTAACCAAATAACCCTGTATGTCGTGGGTCCTAGGCAGAGATACACAGAGGTCTGCAAAATCAAGAAAGGGACCACTTCCAATGCAGTCATAGGCTGTGCTGGCTATTGAAGAGTAGTAAGTTGACCAACCCTTTGCCAAATATCAAGTTAGAGGTCCTCTACTTGGCCATTTGCCAAGGCACCCTGAAAACACAGTTACACATTCAGTATGGAAAGGAGAATTTTTCCTTTCCTTTTATGTCTGCTGCAGAGCATAATTCAAAGGTAAGTTAGTGAATCATTTCAGAGGGCTTTAGGTGAAGATTTATAATCACAGAATCAGAAAAACAATCTGGAAAGGAACTTGAAAGATCCTCTACACTGTTCTCTTGTACCAAGCTGGACTGACCTGTCTACAGCTGTTCTTAAAGCTCCTGAGTACATATGATCTCTTATTTTTCTTCCCTCTCTTATTCTTCTTCCCTCCCCACGAAAGTTGTTATCCTACTATAGAAAAAAATGTATTACTCCTTGACAAATCCATCTGGGAGACAAATAGCAAGTCTGTTATTTTCCTAGAGCTTGAAAATTAATTGTTTGTATCCTTACCTTTATCGAGGCTTTTCTCCTGTGAAATGCTGGCTACCAATTCACTGAGTTTACTGAAATCCACCTTTGCTTAGGAGAAGTGTAAAAAGAGCAAAATAGAAACAACATATAAAGGAGCACAGACTGACAATCACTCCCATCCCAACTGCCCTTTACATTAATATTCCTGAAAAGCTACACCTGTCACCTACATCAGGTCTAGCAGAGCTTCCTCTCCTGAGGTTGACATCATCTTCTATATCCAGAAAGTTGGAAACATGTTTCACAAAATCCCTGTACCACTGGTGCTCCCGTAATGAGGGATGTCTGGGGAGCTCTTATCTCTCTCTGCTGTGCAATGGATGATTCTGCATGGTTTTGCTGCCAAGCAGCCTGGAACACAAATGGCAGTGCCCAATTTTCTTTCCTTTTAGCCATCATTCAAATCGTGTAGGAAAGATGCTGCTAAGGTGTCAAAGTACACAAATCCATGATGCCATGAAGGCGTCATCTCTTCTTTTTCTCCTGCCTGTTACTCCTCACAAGTTGCACACTAGTCTACTAATATTCCAGACATATTAGTAATCCAAACAGCTCTCCACTGTGCCACAGTCATAACTTGGATCATGATTAAAAGCTTTCAGATCTACTTGTTTATTCTTACCATGTCTCACAATAACATAAAGTTCACATCAAGCCAGTTCTTGATTTTTCATATTGCCATTACAAATAAATCTCTTTGCTCCTGGTTTTTCTTCAGTCTAACTCCTCTGTTTCATCCTCCTGAATGGTAACTGCAAACAATTAATTTGAAAGTTAAAAAGGCTCTGTCCCATCCACCATTTTCCTTAAGCTCCTCCAACTATTAAACTTTGATTGAACTGCAAGCCATGGTGAGAGTGGCTTTCCTCTCCTCCTTAAGCTTGAAGTACAGCCTCCAGCGTTTGTGGACGGAGTGACTTTTTCGCACTGGTTAATGCGATCTTAGGGTGCAAACTAAAAGGAAGGATCTGTTCAAAAGAAGTACAGCTGCCTAAATGTCAGGTGGGCTCTCGGAAATGCCTGGGTGCACGCAGGCAGCTCCACCAAGGCGGAGCCAGCAACAGGTGAGAAACTGAAACAACACCCTTCACAACAAAGCCAAGAAGCACCAGGGGAACCTAGTGAAAAGCCAGTCAGCATCTCTCCCCTCCAAAAAACACTCCCTCTGGTTGAGACTTAACCATCCTTTACCCAAGTACGCCCCCGAGGGTGCGCAGTCACAGCTCTGCCCTCGGTACCGGGATGCGCTGAAAATCAATAAACAAACTCTCCTTTCGGAGCTCCCCCGGGGTGGGCTGGGCCGGGCCGGGCCGGGCCAGGGGCGGTGCTCGCCGCCCGCACCTCGACGGGGCGGGCCGGGCCCGGCAGAGCCGAGGCGGAGCCGTGGGCGGCGGGGGGAGCGGCGGCCCCGGCGCTCGGAGACACCGACGATGGGCATGGGGCCGGCGCTGCTGCTGGGGCTGCTCCTCTCCAGAGCCGGTAACGGGGCGCGGGGCGGGCAGGGCAGGGCAGGCGGCGCGTCCCCGTCCCTCTCCCGGCGGGCGGACAGCGAGACCGCCCGCACCCCGGTCCCGCTGCGGGGCGGCTGCGGGCGGCGCCGGGGTCGCGGCCGTTCGGGTGACCGATGCTCCCCACGGTGGTCCCCAGGGTGTTCTGCACGGCGCTCCCCATGGTGCTCGCCGGCGGCGGGTCGGAATTCGCGTTTCCAACCGGGAAAGGCGGCTGCTGCTCTGCCCGGAGCGGGGAGTAGCCAGTGGCCAAACTGGAGGGACGCTCTGGGGAGGGGAAGGTCTGCCCTGGGGGCGAGGGGTGAGGAGCGAGGGCCGATGCCGGAGCCGATCCCTGAGGAGCGAGGGGAGATGCCGGAGCCGATCCCAGACAGCGGCCGGACGGGTACAATGCGAGGATGCGTCTGAGCGGGTCCCGGCTGCGCCGCGCTCTCGCTGGCTTTGCCCAGAGCAGTTTTTGATACCTACCCCTCACCCATTCCCCCTCGGGAGTGCTCTGAACCCATAGTTTTTCGAGGAGAGGCTCAGTCTGCTGAGACCAATCCAAGGAGCTCCTGCAGAGATGCAGCTGATGGTTCCGCTCTGCCTCCTATTACTGCCAAATCACAAGAGCCGAGGGTTGAAATTATTCCTCTTTTTCCAGTTAATCTCTTGTGCAGCCTTAGTGGCTGATGTGAGTGGGAACACAGAACCTACAAACGGCTCTGAAGCATTCCTAGACCCTGGCTATGGGATGTCAGTGCTTTACACTCAGGAAAAGCTGCAGCTGCTGAATATCACAATGACTGTTAAAAAATGGGCTGTTGCACTTAAACCTCAGTAGCGCTGTCAGCCACATGGTTACGATAGATTTCTCACACTTTTCCATGTTCAAATGCCAGTTCTTCTTTGTAACTGTTTACAGAAAGGTTTCCCTTCTGTAATCGTCCTCTCTTTCAATACCATGGTGCACCACAGGCAACTGGATATACATATCTATATTGAGTGAAAAGGGAGAAAAAAGATACATTGTATTACCTATCCATTTTTTCTAAGGTATAAATAATAATAGTAGTCTCTTAATTGCTTATCACCTTTTACCTTTTTTTTAGCTATGGAAGGGATTCCCATACCCATGTGCCTTTAACACATTCTGCAACCTTGACCATAGGTCTAGGAAAGAATTAGCTTTCTCATTCTTTCACGTTGTTTTCTGGAATACTTTCATTTAAAAAATGAAATAACTTGTCAAGTTTCAGGGTTTAATACAATGATGTCTGTAGAGGAGGACTGTTTTAGGTTTGAGGTTTACAGCAGCTTTACCTGAACTCACTGTGCTAGCTACAAAGCATTTCTAACAAGAGACTTTTCAGGGAGCTTAGAAAGTCATCGAGTCTCTATGTAAGAGCCAGATGAACTACAAAGTGCAGCAACCTGATAGAAAAATAAAGAAATTTGTACAGATGAGACAAAGGTACCTGTATACAGTATTACTGTAGAAAAAGTAGAAAGTTTGAGAAGCAAACTGGCATAGAATTATGCAGAATACTGCCTACAGCAAATAAACTGATGAAGCCAGCAAAAGGGAAGGGAGTGAGAAAACAAATTAGATGGTGAAGATGATATATCAGGCAATATGAGCTTACCAAGATTTTTTCCTAATCTGTAGTGAAGGCAGATTGAAATAGCACTACTGCACCTGCTGAATGAAGAATGATAGGTAAGATGATGTACCCAAAGAACATTAAAGGTGTGTGTATATATATATATGTTTTTAGCAAACTATCTTGTTCCAAGACTTCATTGTACTTGTACTGTAAACATAGGTTCATAAACTGCAGAAATGAAGAAAGATTCAGACTGAATTCACCTACTTGTGACAACATAATAACAGAATCATAGAAAGACTTGGATTGGAAGGAACCTTAAAGCTCATCTTTCCATCCCCTGCCAGGGGCAGGGACCCATTTCACTAGACCAGGTTGCTCCAAGCCCTGTCCAACCTGGTCTGGAACACTTCCAGGGATGGGGCAGCCACAGCTTTTCTGGGCAACCTGTGCCAGGGCCTCACCACCTTTTGAGTAAAGAATTTCTTCCTAATGTCTAATTTAAATCTCATCTCTATTTTAAAATTGTTTTCCCTTGTCCTATCACTATCTACCTGTATAAAAAGTTGCTTTCCCTCTTTTTTTAGAAGTACCCTTTAGGCACTAGAAGGGGCTTTAAGGTCTCCCCAGAACCTTCTCTTCTCTGGGCTAAACACCCCCTGCTCTCTGAGCCTGTGTTTAAAGCAGAGGGGCTACTGCCCTTGAAGCATCTTTGTGGCCTTCTCTGGACCTGCTCTAACAGGTCCACAACTTTCTTGTGCTGAGGGCCCCAGAGCTGGATGCAGCACTGCAGGTGGGGTCTCACAAGGGCAGAGAAGAGAGACAGAATCTCCTCCCTCAGTCTGCTGGCCAGTCTGATTTTGATGCAGCCCAGGACATGTTTGGCTTTCTGGGCTGCAAGTGAACATGGCCAGCTCATCCACAAGAATCTCCAAGTCCTTCTCTGCAGGGCTGCTCTCAATGTGTTCATCTTCCAGTCCAGATTCATGTCTGGGATTGCCCTGACCATGTGCAGCACCTGCACTTGGACTTGTTGAACTTCATCAGGTTTTTGTGGGCCCACCTGTCAAGTTTTTCCAGGTCCCTGTGTATGGCAGTGTTAGGTATCACCCCTTGGGAGACAACAGTCCATATAAAAAAAAAAAAAAAAAAGCTGAGAAAAAAAAAGGTTTTAAAGATTCTATTGTTTAATCTAAGATTATTTAATACTTCCACATAGGTATATATGTATAATCAGTGCATGTGTCACACAAATATATGTACACACAGAGATGTAGGCAAGGGTTTACAATCAGTCAACAGGTGAAAGCTGGCAGGCTAAGCCTTCATCTGCATTTTTGGCAGGGATTTCAGGGACTGGGTTTTATATACTTAAAATAAATGCATATCAGCACTTCTAGATGAAGCTCCTTGCATCTTATGTTAAGGATTTGTTTTATTATGCAAAAAAATACACGTCCTTATGTTTTCAAGCTCAGTAAAGTGGTTGTTTTTACACCCTATAAATGGCTTTCTCAGTACATCTCTTAATGACCAGCATATACTTTAGTAATTGCAGCAGCACTGACTCACAGCACACAGTATGGTGTTACTATGTGCTTATTGCACTGCGGTTTTCACTGCTCAGATAGAAGAGCTTCTTCAAAGCAGGCCTCAGCAACCCTGAGGTTTCACGGGGATTTACTGCTCCATAAAATACAGAGACGAGTTGAAAGAGTTAAGGGTGATAAAAAAAAGGTTGTATTAAACAAAATTTATTTTGAGAATTGTATTTGACCTTTTGTTCCCTCTTTCATAAATACTCACCCTTTCGTTTTTGAGTGGAGGCAGCTCTTGTTCCTTACTACTCCATGTGATAGACCCCAGCGAGTTCTGCCTCTCACTGCAGAGTCCTTGCTGCAGACAGGATGCGTGCAGAACAATGACAAGGTGCTAGTGTGGCATTCATCCTGACTGGGGTCCTAACAATCTTTTCTCCACTCGACCAGGAGACCTCCTGGCTCTGCCCAGGAGTGATTGTGTCGTGGCAGAGCAGCTGTGCCTCTCGGACTCCACCTGCAATGCCACGTACAGGATCCTGGAAAACTGTGCCCTGGCCAAGACTCGCCTCCTTCCACTGGATCACGATAGCAGGGTCAGATGTCTGAATGCAGAGCTGGACCTTGGGAACAGCTCTTTGCTGCACTGCAAGTGTCACCGGCGCATGAAGAGACAGGAGCACTGCTTGCGTGTCTACTGGACCGTTCACTCCAGCGTGACAGATGGTGAGATGAAATAATAGGAATTTACAGGGTACTAGTAAGGCTTACCCTTGCCTCCCAATCTGAAAACAACTGTGAAAAGGCCACTTCCCAACACTGCAGGTATTGCTTTTGGAACTACATCTCTTAGTTAAGAGAATTCATTACTGCTGTGTTTGATAAGTGGGGAAAACTGGTCTGGTCTGGGACCAGCCCTTCAAATACACCAGGGACTCCAAGATACAAAGACAGCTACTCTGAGGCAGTTAAATTTAGTGCTGTAAAAAATACCTCAAAATGGTCCTATCTGTCCAGCACTGAAAAGGCACTGGTGATTATGACACACACTATCAGGGCATCCCTGAATGTGCTACTGCCTTTTTTAGTGGGATGCTCCTACTTGACCTCTCACTAAAGCCTGTCTGTGCTGCTCAGCTCCTCACTCGTACTGAGGCTGGAAATGCCAGATGACTTAGACCAAATTCCAGCCAGACAAAATGTAATGCTGGGTTTACACACTAGTACCTTTGCATTTTCAGCAGAATCATTCTTGGCATTTGGATTTGAGCAAGACAGAGGACCTCTGAAGTCCAGCGTGAGGAAAGAGCCAGGCATAAAGAAGACAAATACCCATTTAAGAATAAGCAAACAAACAAACAAATAAGCAAGCTGGTCACAAAGCATTTCCTCCACTGCATGAAATATCTTGTATCTTGCCTAGGTTATTTCAATTTGGAGACCTCTCCCTATGAGAACCCAGCAAATGAAGAACACTGGAAGACAGATTACAATAAACTGGCAGCTCTGGTATCAGGTAAGAATTGTAATAGTTACATGATATAGTGCTGCCCTCTTACCTTTTTAGGGGCTAAAGATTATTAGGAATAATTTGGGGTAATGGCCCCTTTACTCAGAGGAATACCTGCTCTGGATACTTTCCTAAATTTGTCCCCACTATCAAGTGTAAATACAGCCACAGATCCAGGCTTATAAAACTGGGAATAACCCACAGTGATCAATTTTATGAAACAAGCACCCTGCCATGAACTAATTAAAAAAATCCTCCTTTGTAACTAATATAACTACAGCGTCATACTGCAGGCACATGCAAGGACTGACTTGCTTTGTTCTCTGATGTTCCCAATCTGGCCATCAAGAAAGGGCTATTCCTGCTGCCACACAGGATCTCTTCTTGGGCCTTGGTTCATGGTTTCTGTGTTGCTTTTGGCTTTACAGGCTCACAGCTAGCGGGAGATGCAACAAATCCGTGCCTGAAAGAAACTCATGTGTGCAATCTGAGCAAGAAGTGTGTTCGTCTGCGCACAGACTACGCCTCCATCTGCACCAGGGCAGCGGGCAGTGAGGACGTGTGTGACCGGCGCAAGTGCCTCAGGGGGCTGAGGAATTTCTTTGAGAAAGTCCCTGAGGATTTCACCAAAAGGATCCTGTTCTGTCCATGTCAAGATGAATTTTGTGGAGAAAGACGCCGGAAAACTATTGTTCCTGATTGTTCCTTCCAGTCTAACACCAAACCCAGTTGCCTCTGGCTGCTGGACTTCTGCTTGGAGGACCCTTTCTGCAAGTAGGTCCAGCAGCAGCAGATGTTGGCCAAGAGAGGAAAACAATGTAGACACTGATGGTCTCGTTTTCCTTCCTACAGATCCCGACTGGCTGACTTCCAACAAAACTGTCAACCTGCAGACACGTCTCCAGATGGCTGCTCTCTGCACAACCACGCTGCGTGCCTGCAGGCTTACATGGGGATGATTGGTAAGTGATATCCATGGGAGCATACAGGGTGGATGCTTTCAGGCCACAGACTTGCAGGCACACTCTGATGCTGTAAAGGACCATCCTGCTCTCTTGCAGGAGATGGTGCTCAGTGTACCAGTGAATATGCCTTACTAATTGATGCCAGTGCTCCCCCTTGCCTCTGAGGTAGAAGCAGCCCAAAGAGAGCTCTTCCATGGCATTTATTCTGTACCTTGTCCCATCCTCTGTTGTCAAATCAGCAGCACTTGTCTGAGATTTCTCAACAGCTGTTTGCATCACCGGCTGGTGCAAAGTGCTCCAAGGGCCTCATCAACAGGGCTCTTTGGGCTTGTGTGAACTAAGTCATTCCTGATGCAGGAGTTACATCCCATCACAGCAGGGATTAAACACTGCATTCCATCACTGCCCAACTTCTATATCCCTGATGGTTTGTTAGTGTTGTGCACACTGTGTTCCCAGGGCCAGCCAGAACATGGCACTACCAGCTGTTTGAAGGAAGGTCGTCTTTGGTTTGAGTTATTTACTGCCAACCAAACTGCCAGTGCTTTTTCAGAGTGGCTCAAAAGAGGAGCTGTGAAGAGCAGCAGTATCTCAGAAGCTGTAAATCTAGACTATACCTTCCATTTTTCCAGATGTGTCTCCTGGTTTTGTGCTAAATGAACACTGGCTGACTGGCACGCTATGGGTGTGCAGTATTTGCCTGGCAAAAGGCACCTGGCCACACAGTGTTACCAGCTGCACAGGGAGCAGGAGCACCTTTTGCTGCCATATGGCAGTACTGGCTTTAGTACCCAGTACATCTCACCATCAGAGTGCCTGAGTCAGGGGTACCAATCTCCACACTTTCTCTGCAGCCCAGCAGACTTCAGGTTGGTTCATCAGGCCTGGGTCACCTGGCTGGGAGTCCTGACCTGGCCTGGGTAACAACACACTTACCACAGTGCAAGGCTTCTGCCTCCAGGGCAGCATTCCCTTTAGTATAAAATGATTCATGATGCTTCTTTCATCCCGGGGTTTGGGACAGGCACACCCATGACACCCAACTATGTCAGTAACTCCAGCGTGGAGGTCTCCCTGTGGTGTACCTGCGAGAGCAGCGGCAACCAGAAGGAGAAGTGTGACCAGATACTCGGCATGTTTGAGAGCAACAAATGCCTTGGTAAGCATCAGTCACATCACAGACCAACAGCTCAGCATGGCGGAATTCAAGTCCTGTGGTTTCAAGATCCCACTTTGCACTGCTCTTGTGTACAGTTCTGTCTTTTTCCGCAATGTCTACATAATCTCCTCTGCAACATATGGGACCAGCCTGGGTCTGCTCTCAGAAGTGTTTCTGTGTCTTTTGGAAACACTCCTGTTCATCTCAAACACCATGAAGCTGTTTCCAAACACCATTCAAATGAAGGGCACTGCAGAAACTTCACAAGGGGAGGTCAGATGTGCTGCATCCATAGGTTGCTGAGTAAGGACGTGTGAGGATTATGGGTCAGGATTCCCCTCCTGTCCTGGTTCCTCTACTCTCCTTTGGCCCTCACTTACTTGATCAAGATAAGCAGCTCCTGAGGCAGCCTGTTATTAAATTCAGCAGCATAGCAGATGCAAAAAATCCTGTTACATGCAACTGTGTAATCCTAAGTCTGTATTTTTTTTTATCTCCCTAGCATTTCAGCAACATACCTTAATGAGATTTAAATATTTAATGTTTGTAAAAGCTTCCAAAGGTTATAAAAGAAACCAGCATCATTATGCAAAGGATTAATATTTAAACCTGCCTCCTGCAGTATAGGAGAGCCTTACACCCAGCACTGTAGATACATTACAACCTAAACATCCCCTCTGAGATACTACAAATCAGCCCCTTACAAAGTACACAGTTGGGAAAGTCACAGAAGGACCCAAAAGTCCTCAAGTACAGTGCAAACACTTTTGCAGCCTGCTCAACCTCAGAAGCAAACCCACAAACTGACAGGCCATTCACCAAACAGAGAATACATATTTTCTAAATCAAGGCACAGAGCCTGTGAGTGCATTTCCTAAAATAGCTTCCCTAGATTTCTGTTCACTAGACTCCAAGACTGCACAACAAATGCACAATAAGACTCCTACTTTCCTTCTGTTTGCAGAAAATGCCATTTGGTCTCAAATGTACCTGAAGCAGACAGCTCTAGAAAGACAGGAAGACTTACCTTACTCATCTTCCTTAAGCTTCCAAGGAGACAGTGCCAGCACATCTCTTGCTTCAGAAATGTCCCAGGTACGTGTTGCTTGAGTGAGTCAAGTAGCCTGGAGACAGGAGTTGAAAAACCTTGGACCTGGATATGTGTGACTGGACATCAAAGCGAGGGATGCCACGTGCATGTGGAACACTGGACCACTCTACCTAAAGCTACTTCTTTCACAGACAAGCAGAAATAGGAGGCCACGTGCCTGGCCACAGGAATTTCAATAGTCTCACATTAGTGCTCAGAACTGGAGGCTCTGCAGCCAGAAGTTTGAGCATAAATGTGTCAAACTGGGACTCATCCCTCCTTTTCATTTCCTAGGTGGCTGAAAGGAAGATGCAGCGAGACAGCTCTGAACACAGCAGTATGCCTTTGGCCTCCTCTGAGCATTCTGGAGCTGCTACTTCTTGGCCTTCTCTGGTTCTGTTCCTGCCCCTGTTGCTGAGCACTAACTTGGCATAAATGGAATCTTCCCTTCCCATATTATTAATCTTATTCCATATCCAGGCACGTCCCACTACAGATTTACCTTTGGGAAACAGAAGGCTTTGAGACAAGAGGAATGGAACAGCCTTAACCCAGAATGGCAGTCTCTGGAAACCCCCCCACCTACTTGCACCCCACTTTCCCCCCCGCCAGTTTGCACTGAGCTCTGCAGATGTGGTTCTCACCATTGCTTCTGCCATGTATGCATTGTGAGTAACAGTCAGGCTCCTGTTCCAGCTCAGTAGTTTGAAACAAAGGTCTGAGCTCTGTCAGAACTTGTGCAGGGTTTGGTTTCTGACTGCAGGGATGACCTGACACAGGATGTCCGCCCACCCCACCTGCTGGAGCTCCTCCTCAGGCCTGCAATCACTGAATGGTTTCTGTTGGAAGGGACCTTAAAGATTATCTTGTTCCACCCCCCTGCATGGGCAAGGGCACCTTCTACTAGACCAGTTTGCTCTAGAGCCCCATCCAACCTGTCCTTGAACACCGCCAGGGATGGGGCAGCCACAGCTTCTCTGGGCAACCTGAGCCAGGGCCTCACGACCCTCACAGGGAAGTTTTTCCTAACATCTAATTGAAACGTGTGTTCTTTCAGTTTAAAGTCATTGCCCCATGTCCTGTCACCACAGGCCCTGGTGTATCTGCCCTTATCACCCTCCTTTATGTACTGAAAGAATATCTACAACAGGGTCTCCATAGAGCCGCCTTCTCTCCAGGCCAAACCAAGTCAACTATCTCAGCCTTTTCTCGCAGGAGAGGTGTTCCAGCCCCCTCATTTTCATGACCTCCTCTGGGCCTGCTTGAGCAGGTCTATGTCTGTCACATAGTAGGTACCCTAGAGCTGGATGCTGAACTCCAGGTGGGGAGGTGGGATGGGGTGGAGGAGAAGAATCACCTCTCAGCCTGCTGGCCATGCTGCTTTTTATGCAGCCCTGGCTGCAAGATGGTTTTTTGGGCTGCAAGTGCCCACTACCAACTCACATCCAATTTTCCATCTACCCATATCTCCAAGTCCTTTTCTGCAGGGCTGCTCTCAATCCATTCACCCCCCACTCTGTTGATATTGAGGGCTGTCCCTAACCAGGTGTGGGATCTTGCACTTGGACTTGTTGAGCTTAATGAGGTTTGTGTGGATCTACTTCCCAAGTCTGTGAAGGGTAAGGATATCATCATAAAGACTGGAAGTCTGTGCTCCAGGGTGGGTTGCAAATAAAGCTCAATCAACAGACACATAAAGTCCTTGGTAAACACTATTTCTGGATTGCTTTCAGTTCCCTTTTCAAATCCATTTTTAAGTATATGAAAAATAGCATTGCAGATCAAGGACACTATGCTAGAGTTTATATTCTTGCTCCATTCTGTTTTGCCCCTTGCAACATATATATAATCCATTATCACAGCTTGCAACACACTCGGGTTTTGTTGTTCAAGATGAACTTCTGTGCTCAGCTCCAGAAAATTTAGTTTTACCTAGAAAAGGATGATCTTGCCTGGCTTCAGGACAAACCTTCTCAGTAACCCCTAGGGAATGCATATAGCTCATTGAAGATGTATTGTCCACAAAACCCCCGGGACACTCAGTTGCAAAAATCTCCTTGCACCTCTGCACTTACTCGAGTTGTCATTGCCCCTTCCAGCTGCCTGCCCCATCTCCTGCTCCTCTGCCAAGTGCTGCTTCATCACCTGTTTATTCCGAGTGTAAATGTGTGCACTGTGTAACTGCTGTTAGTTTGTACTGCATTTGCCTGTTAAAATGTGGTGTTAAGTGAATATTGATTTCTAAGCATAGGTTAACAGTCTGCAATCAATTGTGTTCAAGAGTTGCCTCACCAGCCAGCCTACATTTTTGAATAGCCAGAAACTCGGCTCAAAACAGCTCCTCTGTGCACACACACAGTGCCCACTGCTCTTCCTGAGAGGCAGCAGATCTGAACAGCACTATACACACCCAAACAAGGTTACAGTCCTGAACAGAGGCAGAACAGGTGAGTATTCTTTTTATCCCGTGCTTTGTCTGTTGCCAGGGAAGCACCAGCTAGGTAAGATGCTGTGGTTCCCAGTCCCTGTCAGACACCTTATTACAGAATCTTACATCGTCACGTGTATCAGAGTAATCATCCTGCTGCAGGGGTAACATTTCCATTTCCACTTCCACTCTTCTGTTTACTTCCTGGGCAGGTAGAACAAGGAAATCACTGCATGGAGCAGAATGATCTCCTCTGTCACACAGAGAAGCACTATCTTATTTCCGTACAGTAGAACAAATACCATGTCTTTTTAATAAATAGGAGTACTAGTGCTGGTATTTCTCATTACCTACTGAAATACGGCTATTTGGAGCAAGAGACAGCACTAGAATGTTTGCTACCATTCTTTAATAAAATCAGAGTCCATGAACCATAATATAATACCTACATTAGACCATCCTCTATGTGGTGGAACTAGAAATGTGTCAAGACCTTTGACTGTAATGTAATAGCATCTGTCATCTCCAGAATTTAATGGAGAGTGACACTGAGGAAGAAAATATTGTTCTTTGCAGTATTCCACACATCAGAGAGAATATTTGTGAGTATAATGGAGTAGATTTCCCTGAGCTGTCTGTACCACACACACTGGTACACAATGTACTGCATTGATCATCTGCACTGTGATCTTTCCTCTTTCCCAACTTTGGTGTTCTAAGACAGGCTGATAGTGAAAAAGGAATGAGCATTTTGTTCATTTTTAGGGCACTGTGGACCTTTAGCTCTTTACCCCTACTAAGAAGGTTATTGATGGCAATTGCAATCTCCTGTCATGTCCTGGATTACACTACAGGAAAATACTTGACACTGAGGCAAATCCTGCTCTGGACTGAAATTAAAGCAAAAAGGGTCAGTTTGGGTTTTTTTCTGAGTGTCCTGCATCCCTTTCACATGCATGTTTATATACACAGCTGCCTCGTGAGGCTCCGTTCATCAATAACTGCAAGCAAAATTCACCTCTAACTACACCTGCATTCGCAGGTACTCACACTGCAGGGAGTACAAACCCATTGCCACTTAGACTTCTCTAACACCTGATCTCCAGGTATCACAGTTTTTCAACTACACAGCATATATGCATGCACAAGTATAACTGCTACTAGAAATGTCATGCCAGTGTCAGTATCAAGTCAGTTGTGTCAGCACCACCAGTGTTCCAAGGCTGGCACAGTTACCCAAACCCATTCAGAACAGTTCTTACTGACCACACTACAGGGCAGTTTACAACCCCCCCTCGGCTTCTGTTCCCAGAAATTGGAATAGAGCATCCTGTGAGCACATGTGGTCTCACAAAATATAATCCACAAAATACAAAAATAATCCAATAAAGATTCTCTATCCAGACAGTCTTAATATTGAGCTCTCAGCAACCATACATGAAGAGGGAACCTTCTAATTGTTGTAATGTAGATTATTTTTTAAAGAGTAAAATAATGCGAAGTCTCACTAATAAAATTTATCTTGCAACTCTAGAAGTCTCCTGCCTTCCTTTGCATTAATAGAAGCTACACTCATTGTCTCCACTGCTGGAGGCATTATGGGAAAGAAATTTAAAGAACAGAGTTAGAATCTCTTACACAAAGCAATCTCAACAACTTTCACAGAGGGTACCCTGTCAGGTACTTCAGATGTGGCTTCTAGAACTCTAGTAGAGCTTTAGATCCCTCAACACGGTCTAATGAAGCATTTACAAAGGGCATTCAAATAGTCCTCCAGTAGGGAGCTCAGGCAACTGTTAGGTGAGTGGTTTCTTGTGACAAGTGGGAGAAGCAATGCACATTTCTCGCCCGAGGTCATAAGCAAAGTGATGACAGAAATAAGCCTTGAATTTGGAAGTCCAGAGTTATGGTGTCCTTACCCCATTAAAATTATTCCCATTGCCTTCAAGAAGTGCCTATGTTGCAATAAGAACCAAGTGCTCTGCAGTTTTCCTTTTAGAAGGGGGAACAATATGTTCTTGCAGATGAGGAAAAGCTAAGCCTTGCTTCAAACTGATTCCTGGCTACAGGTCCCTGGCACACCTCTCCAAATCTGTTGACAATAAAAGGTAACTTTAATTTGACAGGAAGATGCTACAGGTTCAGCATCTTTAAAGAATTAAAGTGTCTTTTTCAATATATCCTAAAACCCACATCACTATTTGCCAAAATGGTAGACAGCTTTACACAAGAATAAAAAGGAGAGTTGTCAAAGTAATCTTTGAGGTGTCCATGAACCAGACAAAGCTTTTGGGAACAACAGTGGAGAAAGAGGAAGCCAACCAGCACTGCTGAGCTCCACAGGATCGCTCAGCACTGCTATGGAATCACAACCCACAGCTATTCCACAGCTGCTTCCCCCATCGAGGCAGGTCCTGGTAAATACGATCAGAGGCTAATCACTTCTACCCCGGGGACTTCGTGGCTGAACCTTTCTTCATTTGAGGGAGGGTCGGTTGAGGCTGAGCTTGGTTAGTCTCTAATGGAAGCTCTTCTGATAGGTGATTAGCTCTCCTCCAGGAAGTGACTTGGTGTTTGGGTTTCTTGCAAACCCCAGGGTTAGCAGAGGTCAGGGGATGCTGCACTTTCTCCAAGTGCCTTCATGAAAATAGCCCCACATACTTTCCATTTACAGCTGATCACCTCCATTATCCCCAAGCTAGGAGGAGATGATCAGCAATTGTTAAGTGCTTGAATCAGACTAATAGCTCACTGCTAATTCCCCCAGTAATGGGAATCTAAATTCCTGGTAAACAAACTGACTGCTTTTCACACACAGGGACGAATGCCAAAAGCCTAATATTAGAGCTCTGGAACTAAAGCTTTTAGAGCAATCCTGTCCACTCAGAGATGTTTAATGACATTATGTACTAAATAATTAGAAAATGAAGGCCCGCTTGGAATCAATGGGTTACTGTCTAATTAAGATGACAAAGGGGCTCTACCCTTTTTTAAACAAGTTTATACTAAAATGGTGTACCTGATAAATGGTGCTGATAACTATGTCTTTACCTTTGGGCAGAACAAGCAGACATTAAGCTAGCACAAAATAATTGTGTGATTTTTGGCTCATCTTTCTTCCCCTTGGTCTCTCCTGTTTTCCTGTAAGGCATGTGATTCAGCTGTTCCTCCCCCCATCAAATGACAGAATTTATTAAGCAACATTCAAATCACTTATCCTGATGGAGATAAAACCATCTTTGCCTTTGCTTTATTGTATGGCCACAGTCACAGAGTTCACACCCACAAGATGCTTGAAGAGCTGAGAGTT